GAAGAATTCTGTTGTAAGTTTCTTATATGTGAAGTGTAAATATTACCTAAAGATAGACTGCATAAGTTAAAGGTGTATACTATAAACCCCAAAGCAACTGCTATTTTCAAAAAAGAGTTAAAGTAATAAACAAAAAAGAAAATAAAAGGGACCTTAAAATATTCATTCCAACAGAAGAAAAATATACTTATAATCCTATATAATAAAAACCTAATATGCTAAGTGTCTGGTCGTCCGGTCGGCCATTCAACCAATCAAAGTGTAATATGCTAATGATACGCTAAGGCCACTCAACCACTCGCTATGATGCGCACTGACCACCAGGGGGCAGACGCTCCGACCAGTAGGTTAGCTTGTTGCTGGGGTCTGAGCAATTGGGACTGAGCAAGACAGACTGAACATGCCCTGGAGCCCTCCTGCGGTCCCTCCCTGACCCCGATCATGCACTGGTGGGGTCCCTTGGCCTGGCCTGCGCCCTCTCGCAATCAGGGACCCCTCGGGGGATGTCGAAGAGATGGTTTTGGCCCAATCCCGCTCAACACAGGAGCTTCCCCATGGTGGTCAGTGCGCTCTCACAGGGGGAGTGCCACTCAGCCAGAAGCTGGGCTCAGCCAGAAGCACAGTGGCAGTGGCAGAAGCCTCTCCCACCTCTGTGGCAGCACTAAGGATGTCCGACAAACAGCTTAAGCCCACTCCTGACTGAGAGCGGGCCTAAGCTGTCAGTTGGACATCCCCCGAGGGCTCCCGGACTGTGAGAGGGTGCAGGCCTGGCTGAGGGGACCCCCCTCCCCCCCGCCCCAAGTGGACGAATTTCGTGCACCACGCCTCTAGTAGAATATATATATAAAAAAGCCAGATGGTAGATTTAAACACAACCATATCAACAATCACATTAAGTATAAAAAGTCTAAATACTCCAATTAAAGATTGGATAAAAATATTTTTTAAAATGTAACTATTCTGCCTAAAAGAAATTTACTTTAAATGTAAAGACATAACTAAATTAAAAGGAAAAGAATGTTAAAAGATATACCATGCTAACAGTAATCAAAAGATAAGTTTTTATAATGGCTATATTATTATCTACATAAAGTAGATTTCAGATCAAAGAATATTACCAGGGATGAAGAGGGACATTTCAGCCCTGACCGGTTTGGCTCAGTGGATAGAGCGTCAGCCTACAGACTCAAGGGTCCCAGGTTTGATTCTGGTCAAGGGCATGTACCTTGGTTGTGGGCACGTCCCCAGTGGGGAATGTGCAGGAGGCGGCTGATCGATGTTTCTCTCTCATCGATGTTTCTGACTCTCTGTCCCTCTCCCTTCCTCTCTGTAAAATATCAATAAAATATATTTTTTTAAAAAAAGAGGGACATTTCATACTGATAAAAGAGCCAATTCATCAAGAGTATATAACCATCCTAAGTGTTTATGTACCTAATAACAAGGCTTCAAAATACATAAAGCAAAAACTGCAAGAAGTAGGTAAGTTGATAATTATAGTTGGAGATTTCAACACCTTTCTGTCCATATTTGATAGAATAAGTACAGAAAATCTGCCGAAACCGGTTTGGCTCAGTGGATAGAGCGTCGGCCTGCGGACTGAAAGGTCCCAGGTTTGATTCCGGTCAAGGGCATGTACCTGGGTTGCGGGCACATCCCCAGTAGGAGATGTGCAGGAGGCAGCTGATCTATGTTTCTCTCTCATCGATGTTTCTAACTCTCTATCTCTCTCTCCCTTCCTCTCTGTAAAAAATCAATAAAATATATTTAAAAAAAAAAAAAGAAAAAAAGAAAATCAGTAAGGATGCAGATTTGAATAGCATGTCAACCAACTCGATTTAATTAACATTTATATAATGCTCCAACAACAGTAGAATACACAACCTTTTCAGTGGTACAAGAAGCATTTATCAAGATAGTCTATAAAAATAGTACCAACAAATGTAAAAATTCAAATCATACAAAGTATGTTCTCTCACCTCAAAGGAATTAAATTAGAAAACAATAACAGGAAGGTATCTGGGAATATCCCCAAATATTTTGAAATTAAATAACATACTTTTAAATAACCCATGTGTCAAAGAAAAAATCAAAAGGGAAATTAGAAATCATTTTGAACTGAATTAAAAATGAAAACACAGCATCAAAATTTATGGGAGGCAACTAAATAAGCACTTACAGAGAAAAAAAGTCAATCATCTATAATTCCATTTTAAGAAACTAGTAAAAGAAAAGAAAATTAAACCCAAAGTAAGCAGAAGAAAGTAAATAATAAAACCAAAAGCAAAAATGAAATAGAAAAACAATAAGAAAGCCATTGAAATCAAAAGCTGTTTTTTTTTGTTGTTGTTGTTGTTGTTTTTGAGAACATGAAGATGTCTAGGATTTCAAAAATCATTAAAGAGCAACTGCAGTTATGATCCTGAAGCTTCCATTTTTGGTATATTAAAAAAACTAGACCAGAAACCATAGAAAAGATCTAATATTTATATGTGTTTATTAATATCTATATGAAAAATCTTGTGTGCTACTGAAGAAAAAGAATCCCATAAAGCCATTTGAAATTATATATTATTTTACATAGGTATTTATACATATGTGTATGTGTTCACATGCTTCTCATCAAGAGTGTGGCAAAACATCTTGCTCTCTTTATTTTTCTAAACCCTATTCCATATTTGGCTTCTCCTTTTTTAAAATGCTATTTAGAGATATAGTTCATTCATTTATTCATTCAACATAATTATGAAATGCTACAATATGCCACAGATTGTGGGACATGCTGGGGGACACAGCTGTTAACCAGACAAACAAGATCCCTGCCCACTGAGCAGAGTCTAATGTGAGATACAGACTAGAAAATAGGCAATAACAACGTACTCTTGTAAAAGTACCATCATGGAAAGAACAGGTGCCATGGGAGTCCACAGGATGGGTACTCAACTTGGACTGAAATAGTCCTCAAGTTAGCATCTAAAGAGACGTTTCTAAAAATGTGATAACTAAGTTTTTTTAATTATTATGATTCAACATAGGTAATAAAATTTTAGGTATGGAATAATATGTAAGGTATGAGTTTGATACTAAACTAATTCCTTGACTATCACGTAGCTAATATTTACTTAAATCTGTTTACACTATTAATACTCTGTTGAAATTTCTCATAGTATAAACAAGACATACAGAATGCTGTTTTTACTAATTTTCAGTATTATTGAGAGTTTTTGTAGGTGTACTAGATTAACATACAGGTGATTCAAATCTGTTCAGAACTTTTTAAGGATCTCTTTGCTAGGGCATAAGAAATGGCAGATAAGCCAAGAATCTAAATCTCTAGGCAAAATTTGAAGGAAGTCCAGGTTTAAAGAAGTGAGGCAAGTCCAGAGAAATGTGAAGATTCCAAAGATTAGTTAGGAAAGGGCCCATGATTCCTTCAGAAGCTCAGATATGTTTTAAAATTACTCATTTCCTTTAACCATTGATTTCACATTTGGAAATGTATCTTCAAGATATAAACTTCCACTTTTTAGCCCCAAGATTGTTATTGGTTATACTGAGAAGTTGGAAACAACCTAGATGCCTAACACAGCAGCCTGGCTAAATAAATTATGTCATAGCCACACAGTGGAATTCTAACCAGGTTTTTAAATAATGTAGCAGTGTTTCTCAAACTTTACTGGGCGTCAGAATCACTAGGAAAGCTTGTGGAAAACACAGGTTGCTGGGCCCTACTTCCAGAGTCTTTGCTTCAGTCATCTTGCTATAGGGCCCAAGAATTTGCATTTCTAACAAGTTGCCAGGTTGATACTATGGCATGGGTGGGGATGGGGAGCTGCGAGTGAAGGGCTCACTTTGAGAACCACTGATATAGAGTTATTTTTATTGACTAGAATTGTTAACTTGAAACAAAGCTGTTTCTTTTTATTTTTTTAAAATCCTCACCTGAGGATATATTCTCCATTGATTTTTAGAGAGAGTAGAAGGGAGGGGAAGAGACACACAGAGAGAAACATTGATGTGAGAGAGACACATCGATTGGTTGCCTTTTGCAAGCACCCCGACTGGAGCCAGGGATTGAGTCTGCAACTGAGGTATATGCCCTTGACCAAAATCAAACCAGGGACACTTCAGTCTGAGGACTGACACTCCATCCACTGAGCCAAACTGGCTAGAGCCAAAGCTGTTTATATTATATTCTTTGTGTATACATACAGAAGTTTAGATGGAAAAAATATAATTCAGTGGATATCCCAGGATGTCTTTGGGGTGGATCGCATTGTAGATTCTTATTGTCTTTTACATTTTTCAGTGACAGATTTTTCTGTAATAAGCATAGTATTAGTCACTAAAACATAATCAAATTTCTTAAATAATAACATCATGAAGTGCTGGCCAATAGCATTAACACACTGGAAACATCAAAGTAGGCTTGATCCTACTCCCCCTCTGACTTTTTAACTAGGTCTTGTTAGG